GGCCAAGTCCTGGGCTTCCACTCTGAGTGATGTCCTTGAAGGAAAAGAGGAAAAGTACTACCTCTCCTATCTCATTCTTGATGGGCATCATGTCCAGGAGGCACCAAAAGGCCGAGCCTGTAGATGTGGAGAGATGAAGGGTGAGGTTGAGCAGCCATAGCATCCCTTTCTCCTAATCCCCCTTGGTTCCCGGGCATAGTCTAAAGGCTTGGCAAAGGTTCAGAGCTGGAAAGAAACCCAGAGATTAGGTCAGCTCACTCTTTCACCTTCCAGATGGGAGAACCAAGCCCAGAAAGGGTCAGGAATGCACTCAATGTCACACAGTCAGCTTGTAGCAGTGTGGGGACCAGCATCCAGGCTTCTACTTTGCCAAATGGACTCTGGGCAAAGCCCAGGGGCTGGGCAGGGATGCAGGGTGGGTAAGGCCCCTCACCATCCTTCCGGTAGAAGCAAATTTCAGCCCGGTGCTCCTGATGGCTCTCCAGGGCCTTGTGCAGCCTCTGCAGGGCTGGCTCACTGGTCTCTGGACCATAGAGGAAACGGCAGCTGCACGTTTTCTGCATGACCTCTGTACGGCCGTAGCCTGTGAGCTCGCAGAAGCCGTCAGAGCAGTAAACGATGGGAAAACCGCGTGGGCCCTGTGCGTTGGCCAATAGGAAGTTGCTGTCTGTGGGAAGAAGAGGTCAAGGTCAGGCCAAGGCCAGGAGGGGAGCTCGGCTTCCAGGTGGGCAGTACCTCGCCCAAGCTGTGGTCAGAGGTCACAGAGCCAGAAGCTTTCCAGGCTTCCACGTGATTCCTGGATCCCTCTTTGGGATATTCTGAAATGAAAGTAAGAAGAGATAGAGCAAAAGGACAAGGACTTAAGTACGGCCTGGAACTAGGACAGAAACTGCCAGGGGGTTGAAGAAGGAATGCCAAGAGGGCATGCGGTCTATCCCCTTGCTCTTACTGTAGGAGGCAGCACAGCACAGTGAGTACAGGCATGGGTTCCAGCACCCCCACCTTTGCCATTTATTGACTGTGTAACCTTGGGCAAGTTAATTAACTCCCCTGTGCCTCAGATTCCTTATCTGCAAAGTGAGGGATAATATATCTTCCTCACATAGTTGTGAGAGTTACATAAGTTACCTGGGGAGAACAAGCCCTGGTGCACAGTCAGTACTACTCCGAGAAGGTGAAATGATTCTCCCACATTCACACAGCTTTCATAGCGCAACCATAGCCACTACCCTGTCATCCTATTAGAGAGTGGACAGGGCAGAGATTCTGGTGGTATCATACCAATTTTGTTGATAGGAAACTAAAAAGCAGAGATTATCCAGACTCAAGAATCTCCTTTATGTGGGAAAGGAGACAGTGATAAGTAACATCTTCATTCCCTGCCTTCCCCTTTAGCTAATTCCAGGGAGTCTGTCCTCAGTGCTTAAAGTCTGACAGGATTCGGCAATGAAGTTGTGGCTCCAGCAACCTCAGTAGCAGGACCTGAGACGGCTCCCTCCAGCTCCAGTGGATGGGAGGCCACAGCGGGGCTCTATAGGGCATTCAGGGACAGAGTCTTAGTTGAAGGTAGGGGCCTGAGACACAACCAATGGGGGCGGGGGTACTAGGAAGAGTGAGTGTCTGGAAGTGAGGTGGCTGATGGGGACACTGAGGATGCCTGGGAGAAACTGGGCCCTGGGCAGCAGCCTCCTTCTTCTATCCCAGGGCCCGTTGCCCTGGTGATGGGCGCTATGGAAACAAGGGAGGTGTGTGTTTGGAAGGAGGGTGGGGAGGCGGGTAGGGCCCCCGGCAGCTCGGTTTTCACCCTCGGGTATCGCTTCCCCCACCTTCCAGATCCAGGCCAGGGTGCCGGAGAGGGGCAAGTGGCAATCTCTAGGCTCCAAAGTAGGAAAAGGGAATGGCGGGAGAAGAGGCAGGGAAGGAGGAGTGTGGCTGTCCAAGGTGCTGAACCTGGAACCCAAGCTGGGTGGGCGAGCAGGGAGTTCCCTTCGTCACACGGAACACCCCCCTCCTTCTGGCTCGCCTCCCTCAGACACTGACGCGCCATGATTTGGGGGCGCGTGACCTTAATCCAAACTAGGTCCTGATGAAGTTTTTCCCACTTCCTGGGGGAAGGGAGTAACTGGAGTCGTCTGAGAGTAGACCCTCAGAGCGCCTGGCCATTCCGTCCCACCTCTGCGTCTCGGATGCCCCCATACACGCCCCCAGCAGAGCTCTGCCCCAGAGTGGGCCGCTCCCAAGGCCTCTCCTTCGTTTTGCCGCACAAAGAGGCTTTCCTGCCTCCAGTCACACCCCCAATCTTGGCCCCCACCCCCCGCGCACTCTTGGCCTCACCCCGCCTACCCTCGCAGAGAGCTCCCAGTCCTGTTCCTTTACCGAGGCTTCTGGAGTTCTTGGACCCTCAATACCACTCACTCTGCTCACCTCGGGCCTGACCACATCCAGGGAACCCAAGTCGGCCTTGAAAAAGTCTTGGCCCCCTGCTCGAACCCCCAGTCCCAGCCGCTGCCCCACTCACGAGTGCCGTCGAAGCGGGTGGCAATGGTGTCCAGGAAGGTGTTTTGCGGGGCCAGCAACCCCTTCATGACCGGCATGGCCTCGGGGCGCAGGTTCGAGGAGCGGCGCTGGGGGGCATTCAGCGCGGCCGGGCCCAAGGGGGCGCGCTGCCGGCGGGGCCGGGGCGCCCCATGCGCCCGCCTGCCTCCTCCCCTCTCTTTCGCTGCAGCCTCTCTGTTCCAAACCCTGCAGCTTTAGGCTCGGCTTGGCGCCGCCTCGATGGTTCTTTATCCCACGAGCCAGGTTCTTTCCCCCGGGCTCGGCCCGCGCCCGCCACGTGGCCCCGCACGGGGAGGGGCCATCAGTGACACCCGCACCCCTTTCGGCGGCCCTCCTACTGGAGGAGAGCGGCCCACGCGTGTCTCTCGGGGAGAGAATTCGCGACACGCCCACCTGGAGTCGAGTCTCTAATAAGTGGGGCGGGACTTGAGTGACAGACACTCCCCTTCCAGGGTGGCCACGCCCCCACGCGTGGTTCCCTGGCGCTACTTGTGGCTCCGCCCCACGGGTTTTCCTCGCGCACCGCCCACGCTGGGAATGTTATCTGGTTCATAGTGCCGCCTGCTGGAGCTGAGCTATTTCTCAGCACCCCCAGGTCTCTGAGCTCCGGTGTGAGACAGCAAGGGTTAAAAAGACAAGTTTTGCCAGTTGGGGATCCCGGGAAAGGCTGGGAAGTCAATTTCTAAATGCACTACTTAACCCCTACCTGTACCTCAGTTTGCATAGCTCACCCTGGCGAATTCTGCCACTGAGTCCAGCAGGATGGGTGAAAGAGCTTTGGAGTACACTGGGTAGCATCTAGGTTCTGCCATTTACTAATTGTGTGACTTGGATTCTCAGAGTCTCATTTTCCTTATCTGTAAAATGGAGCTAATAATTTTTACCTCATGTGGTTGTGAGAATTTAATAGCATAATGTATGTTATTGGCACAAAATAAGTGTGTTAGCAATTTTCTCCCTAATCCTCCTCTTCTTACCGTCTTGATTTAACCTTCCTCTCTGCTGCCATTCAAGTGGAAGAGAGGCTGGAAGGAAGTCCTGGCTGAAAAAGATAGTCTCAAGGTAGGCAGAGTCAGTTTGCAAATCTCCAAAGATGTGCTGGTGGACCTTGATCTCTACCTTCTCTAAGACATAACCAGTGCAGCAGCAATAAGGATCCAGGTGAGACACAGGACTTTCTCACCACGGAAGCAGAAAATGGTTGGGGTGGCTGAGTATGTAGCTTACAATGGCTGATCTCAGGGCTGAACGAAACAGCCCAAAGCAGTGAGAATGGAAAGATGGTTCAGAGAGAAGTCAAGCCAGTGCTCCTCTCCCTATCCCCCAGAGTCTGGGCTGGGCATTACCCCAGATGTTAGATTGATTAAAAGTGCCACATCATTCTATGTCTCTACATTTAGGTGTTATATTAGTTCCCTGGGGCTCCTGTAACAAAGTATCACAAACTGGGTGGCTTAAACAATAGAAATTTATTGTCTCACAGTTCTGGAGACCAGGAGTCCAAGCTCTAGACGATAGCAATATTGGTTCCTTTTGAAAGCTGTCAGGGAAAATCTGTTCCATGCCTCTCTTCTAGCTTTTGGAAGGTTGCTGGCAATCTTTGACATTCCTTGGCTTGTAGATGCGTCACCCTGTCTCTTCCTTTATATTCACATGGGTTCTCCCTGTGTGTGTTTCTGGGTCCAAAATACCATCTTTTTAAATAAAGATTAGTCATATTGGATTGGAAGCCCCCCTCACTTCAATATGACCTCATCTTAACTAACTACATTTGTAACCACTCTCCGAATAAGGTCACATCCTGAAGCCCTGGGGGATTAGAACTTCGACATATGAATTTAAGGAGGAGACACAATTCAATCCGTAACAGCAGTGTTCAGCTAAAGTTGTAGGAAAATCTTACTTCATCCATGCATAAAAACTACCTGCAGAATAAAGCCCGATGACTTGTGAGGGCCTTCACAATCAGGGCTGTACGAACCTACCTGCCTCCCCTCCAGCCTCCCCACACCCTCTGCCTCCCACTGCAGCCACTTTGGATGATTCATACTCCCTGCCTTCTCCACAGGCTTAGCTTCCACCCCTTCGCAGCAGGATTCCGTTCCTCTGCAGCCTTTCTTGCTCTCTTTCTAGTCCTATGTCTCTCCATAAAGGCCCGATAAAGAATGACTAGCAGACCATCAAGGGAGTGTCTGTCCAGCATCCTCCTCTCCAAGCTTGCACATATACGGTTATCTCCGCACCCCAGGGCCTTGCACGTCTCCTCGCTCTGGGAATTTCCCATTCAAGAGTGTTTCAGGTTCAACGAAGCTCAAACTCAGGTGCCTTAGAGCCTGGCTTCCAGGCTCTTGGGCTGTTTACAGTTCGCAAGACTCTTATGCCCCCTGGAGGTCGGGACGCGAGCACGCAGGAACAGAGACCAGCCACACTAACGAAGACTCGTCTTTATTGAACTTTTTTTCTCGGGGCTGACATCTGGCAAGCAGAGGGGCGAGGGCAGGGCCAGGACAGGGCCCAAGCAAGGGCTCAGACCCCGGACCGTCCCCACGGCGCGACAGTCGAGGTAGCTGCAGACTGGCAAAGGTGCCCGGAGCAGGGTCGTGGCGCTGGCTCTGCGCCTGCGCGGCGACCCATGGTCAAAATGCCGGCCGCATGGTTACCGCTGGCTTGCAAGAGGCGCTGCAGCCGGCCCTGGAGGCCGGGAGGACCTGGTCGCCGCTTGCCCAGGGTGAGGATGCCAGCTGCATGATTGCCGGTGCCGTGCAGCAGCTCGTAGAGTCGGCAGGAGCACGTCTTCTGGCGGCAGCAGTCGGGCAGGGGCTGCGCGGCTGCCCCGGGCGACAGAAGTGAGGGCGGTGGCAGCAGCAGCAGCAACAGCAGCAGCGTCACGGCGGCCCAGGAGACCTAGGGAGGTGGAGACCGGGCCCTGGGGGTCTTCCCGGTGCGCCCGCATCCACCCCCTACACCCAGGCCTTGTTCAGCTGGTCGCGCTCCCCTTCCTGGCCTGCGCCCCTCCCTTACTGTCCCTTCGTTTTCCTGCCTCTGCGGCCATGTTTCGTGAAGGACTCTGTTGGAGAATGGTTCATGTGGCTCCTTTACCTGCTCATCCTTCAAGTCCTAGCACAGCATTTCCTCCAGGAAGCCCTTTGAGACCCCCTGGGAAGAATGACTCTCTCTTCCGGGTACCCTTAGTCTGTTGTATTCCCATCAGAGTGTTTACCACTCCACCTGAAAATAGATGTGTCTGAATCTGTTTGCCCCAGAAGTTTGTACACTTAAGGAAAAAGAGCGGCATTTAATCCTGCTCTTCCTCCTCACAGCTGCAAACCTGTGGAAATCAAGGGCTGGCAGGATCTAAATTGCTGTCTTGTCTGCTTGCTCCTTGCAAGAGCACTGCATTCTGTGGCTTTGGTCCACCAGTTTCCTACCCTCTCATGGGGCACAGCTTCTTCAACTTGTGAACTGGGTATTAAGTAATTCCTACTGTGCAGGGCTGCTGGGAGGATGAAATGAGATGTCAGGTGCAAACACGGCAGCTGATACACAGTAAGTGCTCAATAAACAGCTCTTAGGAGAACAGGGCACAATCGAATATTAGCCAAGGCAGGTTCTGACCAAGGGTCCACCCAGTCCCCTGCCTGCCTCAGAGCCCACGTAGGAGAAAACTAAGAGAGGAGACAGACACCTTTCGCCTTTCTGCCACCCCCGAGTAAGCACTCTCATTGCCCCTTGGTATGATATGTCCCCTCCATCCCTGGCTCTTTTGTTACCTTTGTAGAAGGAGGGTTCATGGTGTCTGGATCTCAGAGTGGGGCAGCCAGGAAAGTTGTTGTCTCCAGTGATCCAAATAGCCAGGAAACTGGAGGCCGTCAACTGTGACCTGCTGCCAGGGACCTGGAGTTTATAGTTCTCTGAGGTGGTGGAGGAGAGACAAGCACTTGCGTCCACTCTGGGGCCAGACAAAGGCAAGTCTAAGATTAGTCTTGTGCAGGGGGGTGGTCTCCAGGCTGAGCCCAAGGAATGGCCGCCAAGGCACTTAGAGGCTGGAGTTGGATCACTGTGCCCCTGGTCCCCCCCTTGTCTGTCTGCGTGCTCCCTGGAGATGGCGCGGTCTCCGGGCACTAATGAGGCCACCTTGCACCCAGGAATCTGGGAGCACAAAAGAGGCCTTGGCTGGGGCTTTGGCATGGGACAATGTGTGTGTGGGGGGAGCAGCTGCTAATTAGGGGCAGGAGAGGAGGTGGTCATGAAACCCACTCTCCACATGGTATATGTGGAGGGGGGAGGGCACCCAGGCAGCAGACCTCTCTTCTCCTGCTGCTTGTCACTGCCACTGGGGTCTGTCAGGCTCCGGGGCCCTCTTCCTCCATGGAAAAATGCTTATGAGCTGGCTCTCCCTTCTTCCAGCTCTCTTATTCCCTCTACCTTTTCCACCAACCCCCAAGATGGAAAACCTTGAAAACCGAACCTAGGCACCGGGAGGGAAGCAGCCAAACCTGGTCTTATCCTTTGACCTCCCCAAGCTTCCTTCCTGGAAGGGAGGATGGGGTCCTATCCCACCAGCAGTGAGTGAGCCACCATGCCTGAAGTTTCTTATTCAGGGCACTGTCCATCGAGCACCTGCTCTGTGCCAGGCCCTGCACTGGGCGCTGGAGTGACAGTGTGCATAGGACATGCCCAGTTTTCAAGGAGCTCCAAAGTCTAGGTGGGGGTGCGACCTGGCATAATGATAGCTCAGTGGGAGAAAGGACTCTGAAAAGGCCTTTCATGAAAAGGGGATTTCTACCCAGTAAGACCGGAGAAGTCATTCTGCAGAAGGGACAACTTAAGCAAAGGCCTGGAGGTGACAGTGCTTAGCTCATGTGGGATAGTGGAGGGTCATCCTCATGGTCACAGATTCCCTCAGAAGGGATAGGTGGTTGGACAGGCAAATGAGGGCCAGAAACATAATCTTTCTGAGTTTTTTGGCTAAATCACTAATTACCTACTGATTAAAATCGGTTACCTTACATTTTCTGGTCCAAAGCTGGAGAATTTTTTTTTTTTTTGAAAAGCAGAGTATCCCTTTTATTATAATGTCTTTTTACATAACCTTTTCAACCTAGATTCAGGTAACCACCTGTCTCTCCCATCATAGGAGAAGGGTCCTGCACATTACAATAGGCAAAAAGGCTTTTAGGAAATAAAATATTTTAAATTGAATCATTACAGTTTTTCAATTTTCTTGAGTACATTGGAAAGTGGGAAAAAGACAGGAAGGAAAAATGGTGTTCCAAACAACCAGACTGTAACATCTTCTAGGTTTAAAGGGTCTTAGAGGCTAAGCGGATTGATCTTGATCCTGTGGGTGCTAGGGAGCCATGGAGGATTTTAGCAGGAAGGAGTTCAGGGGCTGATGTAGGAGCCAAGTGGATGGGCACAGGGGCCTGGAATTCAGAGGCAGAATCAAAGACTTAGGTGCCATGTTACTTAGGAGGAGCTTCGGGGCCTTGGGCAAGCCTCACACCCTCGCGAAGACTCAGTGTCCTCCACGGGTAAGATCAGCAGTTGACCACATGTTCTCCACAGTTGCTTCCTGCTGTGATGCTTTATGATTTGCAGTACAGCCTCTGCCCATGGAAGTGATTGGTGGGTGCTGGGCCAGGAAGGGGACCCATGCTGAGCCAGGGCCAGGGCAGTTGGGAAGCAGCCCCTTCATGTTTAGGTTAAGCTTGGGATGGGGAGAGGTAGAAGGGGGTTTCGTGTCTTCTGAGTTAACCCAGGCCATAGCTCCTCCAGGGCTCTCAAGCACACACACCCCAGTGGAAAGTGGGGGGAAAGCGCTGACATCCAGAGCTGAAAGTTGAGGGTGGGGCGACAGGCTTCAG